CTGGGAGTTATGGGACAGTTGTGAATGGTGTGTGAGTGCATATGAATATTGTTGTAGATCACCAAAATGATTGCATCTTTAATTTCGTTGTTCTATGTACAATGACAATAAAGTATATTATTATTATTATATTATTATTATTATTGTAGCATCTGCACAGCTTATTGACACAGTCTCCAAGTGTGGGCTGATGCTGGCAGGCCCCTGCAGCGGAGGGGCTCTTGGCCCTTTCACATTCGTATACCTTTATGGGCATATCGGCAACCACAACTGAATAATAATCCAGTCAATAAGATACAGAATGCAAAATCTCCTTGGCCCTCTCTGAGCTGGCAGGGGACATCTGTCATGGGCAGGAGTTGCCCAGCTCAACTCCTGGCTGCTCAACAAGGGGGGAAAGGGAGGGCAACACCGCATTCGCCTCCTCGTCTCGGCTCGGGAGGAGCTTCTTCTCACATACACCCTGCTCCCCACCCCCCACCCCCCGCTTGCTCTTGCAGACGACGCACACAGCGACAAGGCCAAGGAGAGCATCCGGGCCAAATGCGCGCAGTACCTGGACCGGGCTGAAAAGCTGAAGGACTACCTGCGGAACAAGGAGAAGCAGAGCAAAAAGCCTGTGAAGGAAGCCCAGAATGACAGCAAGGGGTGAGGGAGAGGCAGGGGAGGGGAGGGAGACGGGCCAGGGTGCGCCAGCCCTTCAGTGCAGGGCAAGGTGCCCCCCCCCCCCCCAGCCTTTCCGGCTGCAGGAAGAGGCGGAGCCCGTGTGGGCAGCAGGTCAGAAGCCGGGCAGCAGCGTGTAGATGGCTGGGGAAGGTTTCCCTGAGTTGCGGGGAGGGGAGTCTGCCTTGGCTTGACCCTCCCCAGGAGCAGTGGAACGGATTATGCACATCAGGCAAGGTTACTCGGAGGGGCTGGATTTGCATAATTTATGCAGGCACGGCAGCCATGACATCTACTAGGTGCAGTCGGCCACTGCTGTGATATTTTTGTTTCTGCTTTTATATACACACTTTCCCCCCTTTCGTTTATTCATTGCTGAACTTTCAGTTTGTTGTTTTTGAAAGAACTTTTTTTTAAAATCCCACGCTCCAACCTCAGCCAAGCACTCTGATTTCTAGGTGTTCCAGAAGAGTGGCCGGCCCTGGCTTACATCTCTGCTGGTTTTGTTAGGCTCAGCCTGTTACTGTTCAGTCTGAGAAGACTGCCTCCAGTGCCTTTCCTGGGCCTTATCCTCTCCTTTCATCAGACCAGTGCCCTGCAGATAGGAATCAGCCCCTTCTGATAAGAACCTCAGAAGAGCCCTGCTGGATCAGACGGGTGGTCCAGCATCCCGTCTCACACAGTGGCCAGCCAGTTCCTCTGGAGATCCAACAACAGGGCAGAGAGGCCGAGGCCTTCCCCTGATGTTGCCTCCTGGCTCTGGGATTCAGAGGATTAGTGCATCTGAATGCGGAGGTTCCCCTCAGTCACCATGGTGTGTAGCCATTGATAGACCTATCCTCCGTGAATCTATCTAATCCCCTTTTCAAGCTGTTTATTCCTGTGGCCATCACTCCATCCTCTGGCAGAAGATTCCACATTTTAATCACTGCCTGGGTAAAGTAGTGTTTCCTTTTCTCCGGCCTGAACCTACTGCCCATCCATTTCATTGGCTGCCTTCAAGTTCTAGTATTTTGGGAGGGAGAAAAATCTCTCTCTGTCAGTACTCTCCATCTCATGTACAATTTTATAAGCCCCTGTCATGCCTCCCCTTATCACGTCCTCTATCGTGATGCGCTTCCCTAGGCGATAAGCGATCGATGCAGAACCTGGCATCGGCGCTCCCTGCGTTTGCGCAGTTTGGCTTTTCCGAGCAGAGTGCGGGGGGACCTGTCTGCCTTCCTTGAATGATGGGGAGCAGCTCTGTGAGCTGCCGGACTGTTCCCCCTCCCTGCCCAGCTGTTGCTGATGTGTGGCTTCACGTTCTCGGTGGAGACCTGGTTATAAAAAAAAGGGCTGTGGAGAGTTGCCCACCGGTCCCTGCCTTTGGCTGCCCTTGGAGGCAGAGGTTCTGTCCCCTCCGCCCGCAGCCAAAGCGGACGTGCAGGCCGCCGTCAGTGCGGTCTGGGCCCTCCGTGTCTCCGGAGCCCGTTCCTCTCTGGCGGGGAGGGGGCTGCTCCATCCCACCTGACCAGGTGCCTCCCTCCACAGGAGCGACAGTGACAACGAGGGAAAGAAGCGGCAAGAGCAGCTGATGGGTAAGGCTGGGACTCGGGGGCCGGAGCCGCGGGTGGCGCTTGCCGCCAGCCCCTGGGAGTGAGAGGCTGCTGCCTGGTGGCCCCTTCCTGGCAGGGCGGGGTGGGCAGTGCGTGGCGTTCGTGGGGCCAACTGCCTTCCCGCCACAGGGGCCGTGGTGATGGAGAAGCCCAACGTGCGGTGGGGTGACGTGGCTGGCCTGGAGGGGGCCAAGGAGGCCCTGAAAGAAGCTGTCATTCTGCCCATCAAGTTTCCACACCTGTTCACAGGTAAGGCCTCCTGGGGGTCCCCTTTGCCGTCCCCTGGCCGCGTGGAGTATTGCGAAGGTGGGGTAAGGCTGTCTCTGTCTGTCTGTCTGTCCCCCAGGCAAGCGCACCCCGTGGCGAGGGATCCTCCTTTTCGGCCCTCCTGGCACGGGGAAGTCCTACTTGGCCAAGGCCGTAGCGACCGAGGCCGGCAACTCCACCTTCTTCTCCATCTCCTCCTCCGACCTGGTGTCCAAGTGGCTGGGGGAGAGCGAAAAGTGAGTGCAGGGGCTGGAACGGAGGGTTTGGCTCGTTGGGCCGGATGGAGCCGAGAGAGGAGAGGTGCAGACTGGGCCGGCTGCCTTCTGGGGCTCCGTTGCCCTGCGCGTCTGGGTCTCGTGGCCTCTCTGCGCTCGGTCTTGAGCCGTCCCCTCTCTTCCTGCTTCAGGCTGGTGAAGAACCTGTTTGAGCTGGCCCGGCAGCATAAGCCCTCCATCATCTTCATAGACGAGGTGGACTCCTTGTGTGGCTCTCGCAATGAGAACGAAAGCGAAGCCGCCCGCAGGATCAAGACGGAATTTCTAGTGCAGATGCAGGGTGCGTAGCAGGTGCAGAACAGCCGCTGCTGGCGTGTCAGTGGCGCGTGTGGGAGGCCTCCTGCAGGTGGCATGCTCTGAGCAGGAGTTGGGACTCGGAAGCAACTGCCAGGTGGCGGCACGCAGGTAAGAATGGTGACTGGTGCCTTCTCTTCCCGGCAGGGGTTGGGAATAACAACGATGGCGTCTTGGTCTTGGGGGCAACCAACATTCCCTGGGTCCTGGATGCTGCCATTCGGAGGAGGTGAGTCGGGAGGGTCCGTTGATGTGGCTGGGCGGCCTGTGCCCCTCTTTCTGCCCCACTGTGGGGTGGGCGGGTGGCACCCCGGCTCCACCAGAAGACTGTTGCCCTCGTCTGTGTCCATGTGTAGATTTGAGAAGCGCATTTACATCCCACTGCCTGAGGAGCCGGCCCGGGCCCACATGTTCAAGCTCCACCTGGGGAACACCCCCCACAGCCTTACGGAAGCCAACATCCACGAACTGGCCCGCAAGACAGACGGCTACTCAGGGGCCGACATCAGTATCATCGTGCGCGACGCCCTCATGCAGCCGGTCCGTAAGGTGCAGTCAGCTACGCACTTCAAGAAGGTGAGGGCAGCGCTTGCTGCAAGCATCGGGGCCGGAGGTGGCTGATGCCCCTTGATGGGCTGTCCTTTTGGGCTGCGGTTTCTCTCCCTTCGGGTTCACACAGCGTGCCAGGCAGGCGTCCCTCTCGGCCTGCCCGGCCTTTAACAGGTTACCCACAGGAAGAAGAAGGAGGAGGAGATTGGATTTATCCCCCACCCTTCACTACCCAAGGGACTCTTACAGCGGCTTACAAACTCCTCCTTTCCCCTCCCCTCCCCACCCCACAACAGACACCCTGTGAGGGTGGTGGGGCTGAGAGAGCTCTTGACAGAAACGGCTCTTTTTCAGGGACAGCTCTTATCAGAGCTACGGCTTGCCCAAGGTCATCCAGCCAGGTGCGAGAGGAGGGGTGGGGAATCAAACCCGGTTCTCCCAGTTTAGAGTCCGCACACTTCACCACAACACCAAACTGCCCCCCCCCCAGTCACTGGCAAAGAACACCCATTATTCAGACCCTCCTGGTTTGGAGGCAGCCAGCATTTGATTTCTGGGGGCTGTGGATTGAGCGGGAGGGGGGGGAAGTGACTTCCTCCCTGCAGCTCTGGGGAAGGCGTTCCTTCGGGGCTGGTTTCCTTCAGAGCCACCCAACTGATGGGGATACCTGGCACCCTCCTTCTCCCCACTCAGGTTTGGTGCACATTTTGCCACTGTCCCTACCCTCCTGGGCCGGAGAGCTTGGGGGCTGGCTTGTCTGCCTCAGGGATTCCTCCCGTCCTGACAGGTTTGTGGGCCTTCCCGCACGACTCCCGGTGGGATTGTCGAAGACCTGCTGACGCCGTGTTCCCCTGGAGACCCTGGTGCTATTGAAATGACGTGGATGGAGGTGCCTGGCGACAAACTTATGGAGCCCGTTGTGTGCATGGTGAGCAAGTGGGAGCCAAACACCAACCTGGGCCAAGGCTGGTTCAGGGCCGTGTTTTTCACAAATCCCAGTGTGCTCATTGCTAGCCGTATCTCCAAAAGGTACTGTTTGGAAACACACAAGGGTGTGTATGTGTCACCTTGCCTTTTATGGCCGTGGCTGACGAACAGGCGCATCGATCCGTCAGCCCACCGTCCCCGTCCCCCCCCA